TTCTTTTATTCCTGGCTTCTGTTGAAATATTTAAGAGGATCCATAAATCACATCTTAGTCTCTGCAGAAAGCCCTCTATGTGACTGACAATGATATTGTTTTGATCTTTCTAAGGAATGAACACAAACTTGTCCTACCATCCTCTTGGTTTTCTCTCTAAAGCATTCATTACTTACCATGAAGCTCCTAACTTCAGTATCTTTTATTATCTAAATAGGACGCGAACTAGCCAAATAATCAGGCCTAAGTCCTATTTTGTTTTATAGTTTCTTTCTCACTCATTCCTCTTATATTTTACTACAGGCAGCAAAGAAATCTTATCACATCTTCAACACTTTGGAAATCTTAGAAAATATTCAAGTTTATCACTTACAAGTTATACTTCCCAAATAACACAATACTGCTAAAGTCTTTTTGCCATTATATAACAAAGATTTCCTTTTTTCATTTTGTGCTGAGCCCTTGTTGTCAACACCATTAGTGTCCACATTTCTACCAATATCTATTGAAGGCAGTCTAGAATTTTTTTCTATAATGCTTCTTAAAATACTTTCAGCCTCTGCCTATTACTATTCCAATGTCACCTGCACATTTTAAAGTATTTGTTATAAGTAGCATCTATGTCGTGGTTAAAAATATGTATTAGTCTCATATCACACATGAAACAAATTTAGTGGCTTAATACAAATTTATTGTCTTACAGTTATGGAGATGTAATGTTAAAGATTTTATAAGGCTAAAATCATGGCATCAACAAGACTGTACTTGTACAAACTTTGGGGGGAGATTTTTTTTTCTTTTTACTTCTCTGGTTTTCAAAAGCTGAGTCCCTTGGCTCATGATATGGCATCATATGAGTGGCTCAATGAGTGTCACATGGCTCAATGAATGGCATCACTCTGCCTGACTGTGCTTTTGCTTTCTCATCACTTCTTCTCTGCCTCTGATTTCTGTCTCCTTCTTTCATTTTCTACGGACCCTGGTGACTACATTGTGCCTACCTAGATAGTCAGGAAAATCTTATCTCATTATCCTTAACTTGATCATGTCTGTAAATCTCTTATTTCTCTGTAAGCTGTCGTGTTCACAGGTTTCAAGGATTAGGTTGTAGGCATTTTGGCACTGGAGGCATTATTCTGCTTATCATGGTTCCTCGTGTGCATATGAGAAAAGCTCCAAGATTTCTCCTAAATTAGCACTTTCACTGAGGCTCCAATTCATCCACGGTTCAGTGTGAGGAGTGGAGAGTGAGGGGTGAGGCACAGTGGAGCTATGTCTCAGTATCTCTCTGAGAAACACAAAGCTTATTCTTAGAAAGCCTAGCAAATGTCCCCTCTACCCTCGCTGGCTGATGATGCAGCCCTGAGTTCATCACCATCAACAGAAAGACATGTTATTAGTAGAGTGTTACATTAGTACAGTGTTGTGATTCACTTCCTCACATTTGTAGTTAAGAGTGTAGAAGGGTAGTATCCTCAGAGAAAACTGAGTCCTGTTACAAAAATAAGGAAGAAGGGTTACTAAGAAAAGCAAGCAAGCAAATAAATAGAAATAAAAAATGAAAGCAAGTGTCAACTAAAATGCATCCCTTCTTTCCATACTATAAATTACCCAAGGTCAATGACTATGTGACATTCATATTTATATATTATATGTGCATGTAGCAAGAATCCAATCCAAATGTCTGATATGAACATAATACTGATTTTCTTAAATAATCTTCTAACTCCTGAATTATCAAATTTCTGCATTCACATGATTTGATCTTCAGTGCAGTCCAGTCATAAACTAATGCACACATTGCAAATAATATCCTAAAATATATTATAGGAAACACCCAAAGTCAGATCATGATATTGGTAGAATAGAAACAAATAAAGATAGCTAATTTTCTGAATTATAGAACAAGAGGGAATGTGTAATCCTAAAATATGCATTTTTAATTTGGATCATCTTGTTGAGATAATGTCAGAAAATCAGGGTTCCTGATGATCCCTCTACATGCATTCAAGCATAACTTAATGCCATATGTGATTTGAAGAAGTTAAAGTATTAGTATTTGCCTATAGAACTCAATAGTGTGTTTGAGTACTATACATTTTATCACTAGATTAAACTCCAAGAGGGGCTCTCAGCAACTAATGTCTGAATGACTGTGTGAAGAGCATTAATTATGAAAATATTCTATGACTTCCATTTCTTACCTCTTCATGCCTGATGGAGGAAGAGGAGGCAGAGTGGGAAGGGTCTGATGCCTTTGAACGCAGGGATAATGAAGTGCTGCATATCTCACTGGTAAATCACCAACCTGTGAATTAGAAAATACTAAAGCTGTGATAAGACTCCAAAATCAAGCTGTACACATCTGGTTATGATAAAGGAGGGAATATGGTGTATTTGCTTATACTTTCGTATAAGCAGCTATCAGGAGCTAATTGTGGGACTGGCTGAGTATTGAAGGGGAAGAGAAATCTATGACCTTTTGTAGAAGTTCATTGGCCAGTGGCCTGGTGGCCTGGACTATGCTGGGCACAAGTCAGAGCCCATAGGGAAGAGCAACTTGATCAGTAGATCCGCTGGGTGGGTCTGAGCAGGTGCCTGGAAAGGATGCCAAACAACATGGCCCAGCTCTGATTCCTAAATCCCCATTCATTGATTCCATCTTTAACTGAGGTCAATAACAGGTGACTTCATGATTTCACAATGAACTGTAATTCTTCCTTCTCCCTTCTTTTTCATCCAGTGGTTCATTACCTTGTTTCAACAGGGGGTAGCCTTGAACTCACTTTGTGCATCTAATGAAAGCTAAAGATACCTTTCTCGAAAATAAAAGCGAGTGTTCACAGAAGCTAACTATTTTTCACAAAATGTCTGGTTATTCACGAGCTCCCTAAAATTTGTTGGTAGAGATCACCAGAAAGACCCAAGGCCCTGGTTAAGAATACCTGCTATAGCCCCCGGCTTCATCCTCAGCTAATGGAAGCCTTGCTGTGCGGGTCAACAGCGTTTCCCTTTAAAGAATCCATTCAGCTAAGCTAATACAGAAGGGCTTGATTTAGTGATGACAGGTAGTTCTTATATTAAATCTTACAGTAACTGTTTCAGGACAGGAAGCAACAGGCATGACTAAGGATGTAAAACACCGTTATCCAGTTTAGTATGATGGGAATTTTCTTGATGATGATTTTACCATGCATTTTTTCATGCCCCTCCCCTTCTTTTTAAATAGATATTCACATTCTATCTTCTATCTAGTGAGCCTAGGGGTGAGGGTGACAATAGAGGGTGGAGAAGAAAGAGAACGGATGGATAATATGAACACAGGGAGGAATGGAAAGAAGCTACACCTGAGCATCTCCTTGAACATGAACACTTGCTAGAGGATGGTACTTCTATTCCTCATCCTCCCTGGCCAGATCCATTGGTTTGTAAATTCACTTATTCAGCAAAAACATGTTGACATGTGCTGTATTCTAAATCCTCTCCTAATATCTTCAGTGGGAGCAAAGTGGATGGCTTCTGACATCTGCTCTCAAAGGAGCACCAGGTTTCACAGTGAAGGTCTGGTATGCACAGAAAGTTAGCTCACAGAGGCTCTTGACTCTCTCTCTGTGTGTGTGTGTGTGTGTGTGTGTGTTTGCTTCACTTTGTGTCCCAGGGACTGGGAAAGTGTCCTTCCTCATTCCACAGACGATCATATTTATCATGCTGTTCTTGAATTATCCATGTATGCTTCTCTCCCAACATATCGCAAAACCCTCGGGGACAGAGACTGAGTCAGACTGAATCTCCTACCCAGATTTCCTGGAAGCCAACAGGGCACCTGGAACATGGTCAGTGCTTTACAAGATGCTGAATAAAGTCTTGGCTCGCGAGTAGAGAAGCGAGAACACAGATGAAACATGATGTCCCGCGAAAACAGGTGTGTGTGTGTGTGTGTGTGTGTGTTTCGGGACGTCCTGGCCTGGCGTTTGCCCCCTGTGTGTTTAGGGACCTCAGTACCCCACCGGTCCTTCCTAGAAGGAAGCTGGAGTTGGTGACTCTTTCCAGATGCAAATAATCTAAGCAACCTTGGGGGCAGGGAAGGAAGTAAACCGCTTGGCCACCTGCCCCAGCTTAAACACCTGCCTAGGTTTTACTGTCAAATAAAACCAATTTCCTAGCGGTTGAGTGTCAGCAGACGCGCACCAGGTTCGCGGGCTCCATTGACAAAACTGACTTCCCACGCTTAGCCCACAGAGGGCATCCTGAGCACTGATGCTGCGCACCGCCGGCGAACGCAGCCGCCGGGAGCCTCCTCCGTCCGCTCCGCTTTCCCCAAGCCGTCGCCTCTCTGCCCCCACCCCCTTCCCGTGCAAGCGCTGCCCGATCCAGTTCGCTTCCCTCCACTCTCCACATTTTCCCTTCCAGCCGTCCACTCCTCCGGATCAATGGAGAGTACGGTTCCAACTCCCAGCTCGCACGCCGCTGGCAGACACCCCGGTAACAAGTGAGCGCGCTCCGCCCCGTAGCCCCCTGCCTCCCCTCCCGTGGTCCCGCGGCTCCTAGAAGCACCGCGGCCGGCATCAGCAGCTCTCTCGCGGATTTTGCTCCGTAACTTTACCCCGCCGACGACGTGCAGCCGGCCTCAACCTTTGCATGCGCAGCCCAGCCGCGGGATGGCTCCCCGTCTGTCTCCTCCTGGTCCCCGAGGATGCTCTGTGAATTGATGCCCCACCGGCCTCGAGGACAGCTGTCCTCTCTCCCGCGCCTTGCGTTTCCTTGAGTTAATGTCCCCAGGTTTTCCCTGGGCTTGGGAGCTCTTGCACCAAATGGAACTTTTTGCTGCCGCCTGCTGCTGCTGATTCTGGACAAGGAACAAGGCTTCGAGGCAGAAGAGGCGCAGGGGAGGTGGAGGAGGAGGACGACGACGACGAGGAGGAGGAGGAGGAGGAAGAGGAGGAAGCCGAAGGGGCTCGGCGCGAGTGTGCATGTGTGCATGCGTGTGTGAGTGCATGTGTGTGAGTGCCGCCGCTGCCCAGGACCCCCGGCCCCGAAGGTGTTGGCTGAAATATGGAGAATAGTCTTGGATGTGTTTGGGTACCCAAGCTGGCTTTTGTACTCTTCGGAGCTTCCCTGCTCAGCGCGCATCTTCAAGTCACCGGTAAGAGCCTCTTTCCTTTCTTCTCCTCGCACCCCCTTCCTTTGCCTTCTCGGTTCGTTTGGCGACTGCTAGAACTGGGGTGGAGGAGAAAAAGCCATACCCTCAGCGCTCGCTCTGTCCCCCTATTCTCGCCGGTAATAAAAGAAGACTTTTTTTTTTGTCTTTCCCCTGGGGGCGGAGGATGCTGGTAGCAGGGGAGAGGGGCGCCCCTTCGCTCTTTTTTAAAAACCGGGTGCCTCTGGCGTCTTTGCGTCTGTGAATACTCGTGTTGACTTGCAGGGCTGGCGGGCTGAGGCAGCTCATGGGGATACTGTTGAAAGGAGCGAGGCTGGATCTCGCAGCTTCAGAAGCCGGCGAGGGTTCAGGGCGCCGGGGGCAGGTGCAGGAGGGCACAGAAGGGGCTTTGGGGAAGTCTGTGCGGGATGCAGGTGGTGGGGCTGAGGCGGCAGAAGTGATGGTTGGTTGTGTGCGCCTCTCGGCTGGGTTTGCATCTCTGGACTTGCCGATCTAGGACCGGGAAAGGGTTGGCTAGTGAGTGTAGGCTCCTCCGAGGAGGGGGCCGCGGCGCTCAGAGGCACCGAGTTGCCAGGGAAAGAGGGGCGCGTCGGATTTCGTTTTATTTTTGAATGGCCAGTGCCGTTGGGAAGCTAAGTCTCAGCTACCCCCCAGGACACCTCCAAACTCCAAATGATTGCTGAGGAGGTCCGGGGTGGGGGGGAAACGGGCCCGGCCCCTGGGCCAACGCAGTTTCTCATGAAAAATGTCAAAACTGTTTGGAGACAGCAAAGGGCTAGGGCAGGGGAAAAGGGAAATCTGGAAGCCGCTCCGGGCGGCTGCAGTCTCCCGGAAGACAGAGCCGGGAGGCTTCGACGGCCCAAAGAAGAAAAAAGAGCGTCGCGTCTTCTTCTACCGCCCGTTCATTCTGCGGGACCTCTCGTTCCAAGGGACCGGGCGCTGGGATGCAGGGGCTGGCCAGGTGGGGAAAGACAGGGGGCCGGTGGGCTGAGCGTTCAAATCCCTTCCCAAACGACCTTTTCCCCAGTCCAGAGGAAAGGGGAGCCCTGGGTGGGAGAGCCGCGACCTGCGCCTTCCTGGGAATGGAACTCCCTCGTGGCGGCCGAGCCCTGGGCCACCCGGAGCCAGCGGCCTGGGCTTTCTTGCTCCCGCTAGGCGCTGCATGGCCAAGGGTTGCGAACGCGAGCGGAGCACGCGCCTCCCCCGGTCTTGAGGGACCGAGCCCGCCCGAGGCAGGAATCCGCTGGCGCGTGCACACGGACTCGATTCCTCATCGGCGTTTGGCCAGACAGCGCGCGGGAGTGGAGGGGCGTGCGTGCGTGTGTCCCCGCGCGCTCCCGCGCACCCGCCTCCGCGGGCCCGTCGCCTCCTCCCGGGGCTCCTCTCCTGCAGAGCTTTGTCCTCCTCAATTACTCCCGCGGAAGGTGGGCGGGGGGGCATCCTCGCAGTAATGAATAGATGTCTTTAAGATTCCCTGCTCGAGACCTGCGGCTGCTACTGCGGGGCGAGGGACCCTCCTCAGGCGCCAAGGTTGACCTGAGCGCTCTGGGGCGGTCTGGGGGCCGCCGCGGGCCGGACGGGGCAAGTTCGGAAGGGAGCGCTGACCGCGGGGCTGAAAAGTCTGCGGACCAGGGAACCCGAGGCCCGAAGTGCGCCGGCTGCAAGTACTGCAGTAGGCAAGGTGTTCAAAAATGGACAATGATGTCGTGTTAATTGCAAGAAAGCAGTGTAAAACCATTTCCCAAGTGACTTTTGTGTGGCAAGGGGTGGGAGTGAATGAATGGAAGTGTTTTATTACTATGTAAATACATTAAACATCCCTTGCACACTTAAGTTTCTTGTCCAGAGAATGAGATCCAGAAATTGCTTTATTTTGATTCCTTTCTCAACACACAAGCCTACGCCTGAAAAAGCAGAAGAAAAATATACAAGGGATATGTCCACCGATGGACTTGTGGATCTAAATCTTTAAACTTATCTACACTTCTAAAACCAGTTCTGTTGTTTGCAAGTGAATTGTGATGCAGTTTGCACAGTTCTCGGGAAAGCGGATGGCAACCTTTTAAGATACTGGGAATTCAAATCTCTCCGTTCTGCTTTGCTCATTAATCTGAGTTTCACCTCTTTCTTTCAGTAGCAACTTCCCCCCTTTGAGAACATAGCTGGGAATTGGATGATAAAGAAAGCATATTTCATTCCATGAAAGGACCAGTAGGAGGTGCCGTTAATAAGGCCACGCGCCTAGTTTACTGACAGTGAAATTCCCGTTCAGCAGGGTGTTTTAAAGACTTTGTTGATGGGTAACAAAGGATTATGGAGAGCAGCACAATGACACTGGCCCCTTTCCCACTTTCTAGGTAAAGTCTAAAGCTGCTGCAGATTTCTATGAAGTTGTTTGCACATAACAAAGGGTATCCCTGAGCAGGGTCAGCAAAGGGTGAGGACTTGATGCTGGAGGAGGAGAAAGATGGCTTTTTAGTTGGGATTTGTCAGATGCCACCTTCTATGCTTGGCATGAAGCATGGAAGCAGGATCTCCGGATCTGAGGTTAGACAGAAGTCCTAGACGTCAGCTGTTAAAGAATGAAATGAGAAGTATACACATTCATTAATTCCTCATGCATGTTTGGCTGAACAAAACCTACGATGTGGGCATGGTGAAATGAGGCTTGCTGCTTGCTGTGCCCACTCCCTTAATATCCCCCCAACCAAAGCAGCTAAGATGCCCCATCTGGGTTTGCTGCCGAGTGGAGGGAGCGTGGCAGGACCTGAGTGTGCCTGGCCGGGCCCGCCGTCCACTCCTGAGTGCTGCCGTATAAATCACCCCTGACCTGTCACAGTATCCATTTCCTCCCCCGCAGCAGCTGCCCTCTGAGTTATGAAGCATGTGAAACGGCCACCACATGTGTTCTATGTGAATATATTAGGCTTGGTGCATTTGCTTTAATGCTCTTAAAAGCTGGGCTGGCGTGAGCTGCTGATAGGCATTTTTTTTTTTCTGGAGATTTATAACTTCTCAGCATGTAGGACTACACATTCATTCTCTGGCAAGTTAACCTCTCAGCAAACTTCCTTATTGTTTTCCTTGAAGAAGAAGAGCTCCTTAAATTTCTCAATGAAACTCAGCTGCAGTTCGTCTGAAGTCCGAGGCATTTGCAGGCTGGAGTACTGTTTTCTAGGCCACTAGGAAGTGCCACATGAGATGCTAGAAGTGATTTAGGGAGAGATATTTCTACTTATTTCTAGGGAGGGAGGGGATGACAACGGATCCTGCAAGGGGATCCCAGCACTCCAGTTAGTTCTTGGGCATCTTTTAGGGAGGAAATGTTTCTCCCCAACTTGCATTCCCTCTTTCATTAATCCAATAACCTGGGAATCTCCAAATGCATGTAACTTGTTCCTGGATGTTTCCAGCTGTATACAATATGGTCCTCTAGTCTGGTATGATTGTCTTCCTTTGGAAACCTTCCTTAATTTAAGTCTTGACTTCCTGGCCAAAACACTTTGTGTCTTTACCTGGTGCCCTACATTTAACAACAGTCAGTGCTGAAGTTTCTGAAAAGAATATTTTTTCCCATGGAGACTGTGCCCTAAGATTGCATTTCAGCGAATAGTCTTCCTGTTTCTTTGCAGAATTTGCCATCTTACATTTTGTTCGGGACACTTTTCCCTCATGCTTCTACCAACCAGGATCATCGCTCCTTAAGAAAAGAATGCAGTTGTTTGGGACATTTTCTTACAACACAAGCAGGCACAAAGATGAGAAGGTTCCACCCTCCCCCAATGCCTTTTCCTCCAAATGTGTAACTTTGGGGTGAATTATGCTAACTCTAATTATCTGTGGATACTTGTGATTTCACTAGCTAATGAGATCTTCCTCTCTGGCTAGAGCTTTTCCAGTTTCCATAGATATGGCCTGCATTGCTATCAGAAACTTGCAGCAAATTAGGACCGCATACCATGCCTTGGTAGCTGATATGAGACACTTTTCATGGGTTAATCTATCTCCAATGATAATCGTTTAGATGGACTCTATACATACATTTCAGGAAAGCTTAGCTTTGCTTGATAAAAAAAAGGTATAATGACATAAATTTGCTGAGGGCTACTTGGTTGATTAACTAATGATAAAAAGTCAGTTGGTTTTGGGAAAAAAAAATGCTATCATCCCTAAGTTGGAGTGGTAAATACTAAGTATGGTTACAGTTCATAAAGTGTACAACTTGGAGTATTTGTTGTTCTTTCTTCATGGTGCATCAGAGGAGGCCAGTGGGTTTTACTGAGTGGTGAAGACAGTCATGCCTTCATGAATCGTAGCCTGCAATATTCCTAACTCATGATTGAAACATGCTGAATTAAATCTCAAGCCAAGGCCCCGTGAGCTGTTCAGCCCTGCTGTGGGCTGCCTGCTCCTCTCCAGCCCTGAAGCACTACAGCTCTCATCTCTAAGCTGTGTAGCATCAATCCTGCCTCCCTTGCCACAGCTCGGGAAAGCCTTTCCCGCCGTGGAACCAAGGCCCTGGTCCACAGGCACTGTGTTTAACATGTTGTATTACACTCTGCAAGGTTCCAGGGATTTTTAACTTTGCATGAGTGTTTCTTTTAGGGGAGAGTAAACTCTGCTCTAAAAACAGCTATGTACAGTACTCTTCTGGTAGGACACTCTAACTTGTGGCCTCTCAGCCAATCTTATTACAGATCTGGTGCTCACAAGCTTAGGAAGAGACAGGAGTGAGCCCTCCAGGATAAAAAGCTATGCCAACTGTGCCAGGCTTTTTTTTTCTCACAAAGGTGTTACCAGGCTGAGATAATAGAACTTTAGTTTCCTTCAAAGTTGCTATATTTTCAGAGATCAAAGCATTAGATACCATATCAACAGCATGGCATTGATCCAATTTTTTTTAAGATACTTTCCTTCGGAACCTAAAGCAAATATGTATTTGTCAATAAAAAGGGATGAACGGGACAGGCAGGCATTTGATCCAG